AAAAAAAAAAAAAAAAAAAAAAAAAAAAAAAAAAAAAAAAGACATCATTTTCCCAGCTTCTGAATAGATAAAGCTATTATGCTGTCCTTATGTGTTCACTGCAACTCTTTTCACCTAATTTAATGCTGATAAGGTTTTAATCTGCTGTAAAACTACCACTCTGACTTACATAAGAAAATCATACTAAAATCTAATTTATACTCAACATGGTGCAGAAGGCAATGTAGCACAGTAGTCAGGAGCACATTCTATGGAACCAGACTGACTGTGCTGTGTGAACTTGGGCACGGTACTCCTCCCCTGTGTTCCTCAGTTCCCTTATCCATAAAATAAGGATAATACCAGACTCATTAAATTGCATTGTTGTGAGGATAAAATGAGATAATCTTTGATAAGCACTTAGAACACCTGACACACAGTAACCAAGATTTAAGTATTAGCTAAAAACACTAAGAAACACATTTCCAGGAAATTGTTTAAAATAAACTACTTTAACATTTTTGTATTTTATCTGAATGCCACTGATGTGTTCTTGAAAAAAAAAAACCTCATCCTGCAAAGTAAAAAATAAAGGGGGTAAAATTAGGATCGGGACAGAGTACTCAGAATTTATGCAACTTTGTAACCTGATTCCAACAAAAATTAACAGTTGGCTCCTCAGGAGGTAACATGGATAACTCCAACTCCAGGCAAGCAATTCGGCATGGCTGGGGACTGCCTCAGGAAATAACAATCAACAAAAACTAAATAAAGTTAAAATAAAGATTTGCAGGCACTAAAACAATGGAGACTGAGGCTGTTGTTAAGGTGGGCACAGGAGTAAATACAGGTATCTGCCAGGGATTGGTTCCAGATACCCAAATCTGTGGATGCTCAAGTCCCTCACATTAAATGGTGCAGTACAGTCCAGCCCTCTGCAACCGTGGATTCAACCAAGTTGGAACCTGCAGGTACGGAACCCGCAGGTACGGAGGGCCAACAGGAGTTGACCAGAGTTGGGGCGAGAACTAGCTTGCTTGTTTTTCCAGGGACTAATCTCTGCTGTTCTTAAACCACAGTTGAAAGAACATCTGTCTGTGCAGCAGCCAATCTGAGGACTTTTTCCTTTCCTTTTAAATTCTACTCCCTCTATTCTACTCCTCTTGCCAATGAAAAATCTTATATAAACCCACACACCATCACTGACATCATTTCTTACTTACTGACCATGTATAAGCTATTTGGTGTTACAGAAACAAGTCCTGTAGCAGAACAAACTGTACTGACCATTTTTGACTGTAAGTTTTTGAGGAATAATCAACCCTTAATTATCCAAATATAACTTACATCCTTTTATGGTTCATCTATAACTAACTTCTTAATATTTCCTCCATGGGGTGGGAGTGGGGTATGCCAAGGAAATAAAAGTCAATTTTAATACAAAGTAAGAAATGCAACAAAGGAAACAAATCTGCTTCAAATATGGCAGTCTTCAATTCAAACTAAATACATGTTCCTTTTTATTCCTGAATAGTAGTCCACTGTATGGATATATCACAATTTGTTTATTCATTCACTTGCTGATGGACATTTGTGCCATTTCCAGTTTAGGATATTATGAATAAAGTTTCTATGAACATTCTAGTACAAGTCTTAAGGCAGACATATGCATCATTTCTCTTGGATGACTACTTAGAAGTGGAATGGCTGGGTCATATTGTAGTTGTATGTTTAACTTGCACAAAGAAGGGAAAACGGGAGTGATTACAGACACAAGGAAACTTTTAGGGGTAATGACTGTTTTCATTTGATACTGGTGATGGTTTCACAGGTGTAAAATATATCAAAATGTATCAAAGTGCATGCTTTAAATATGTGCAGATTATATGTCAACTATGCTTCAATAAACCTATAAAAAGAAAGCAAAGTGAGAGGTCCTGAAACAAACTAAAGGAAGTATAAAAAAACTTCCAGACAATCTAGTCATAGGATAGTTACCTCTAGTCTCGAATCATTAAAAAAAAAAAAAAAAAAAAAAAAAA